TTAAGCCAATATACAAAGTACCTGTGGTTCTAAAATTATGATTTTAAGGGACTAAGAACTCCTATGGTGAAGTCTTTAGAAGTATTACATTATAAAGATACGTACATATGCATACACAAACAATGCTTGCGATGTGCTGAGCAACGGATTAGCTTTTGTTTCAATAATAAATAAGAAATGATTCTGGACTCAAACTCAAATTAGCAAGAGGAAAAGATATGTGAACAGATAATACAACCTAATAAATACTGCAGAAGAACTGTTTCAAGAGCTTTGGGAGAACAGGGATATCCATGTCTCGTGGGGGAGTCTGAGAAGACAATGATTTATGTATTGGGTTTTGGTAGGTGGTAAAACAAAGAGGTCAGGATGATAAGCATTCTAGACAGGTGGTACAGCACACACAAATGTATAGTTAGGAAAGCGCATGCCAATAATCTGGTATGGTTGAATGTTAAAAGTATTTGGAGGGAAAACAAGATGACACTAAAACGGTTAAATGGATTGGGGTAAACGGTAAAAGGTCCTGTATGATGTGTTTAACAAATAGGACTTGATTATGTCAGCAATACGGTTCCTAAAAAGTTTAAAGGAAAGAGAGACATAAACAGATAATGTATTTCAGAATAATCCTAGGAAAAGATGATGGGGAAACGGCGGGGGGATGGCAACAGCAACAATTCCATCTAAAGAATAATATAGGGCAATGTGAGTGGAAACGCAGAACCAAGGCTGATTCCTAGATTTCCACTTTGGATAGGGCAGATACTGATCCCATTATTAGAGATGGGATACAGGAGAAAGCCAGGAAGAAAACCAGAAAAACAGGGAAACCCTTGGAGAACAGGAAAGAGGGAATGGTTATCTTTGTCAAATGCGGCAGAGGTAAACTCAAAAGGGCAGCCCTCCCAGTGATGAGCTCCCCGGATAAGTAAGGCAGAGAGAAAGCATTCGGAAGGAGTGTGCACAGGGTTAGCACCGAGGCTTTCCATTAAACTTTCCGCACCTCCGTTCCGGAAAGAGCTCAGAGCCGAGGGCAGGGGGAGTCCGGCTCCCCGAAGCTGCGAGCCTGCGGCAGGGAGAGGCCAGGGGCAGGCGCCGGTAGTTTAAGAGACCACAGGACCCAGCGGCCCAAGGGAAGGAAGCTTTGACTCGCCTACACCCGCTCCCCTCCCTGGCTTCATTCCACTTACTCGGCTCTCAATCCCTCGCAGCCGTCAGCTGTAGCGATTAGGACTCAAACCCTCTACCAACTTGGACCTACTCATTCAAGGGAAGAAGACTCCGCGCCCTATTCGGCCTCTTCAGCGAGCAAACGCATAACCAGACAGTAACTGGAGAAGAGTCGCCGGGAAGCCAGCGGGACTCTACCCCATCACCCGCACTGGGGAAACCTCCGCTGACCGCCTTCGATCAGCGCTCCCAGAGCCCTCCAGCCTCGCGAGATTTCTTTCCCTGCGTTACCGTAGGGCACAGAAGACCACTCGCTGATTTGCGCGCGAGGTCGGGGCGGGACCTTCTATGTCCCTCCCTCTTTATCCACACCCGGGCTTTCGCTCGGCCTCTCGCAAAATCTCGCGAGTTTTTCCGAGGGAAACCGGCCTGGGTGGAGAGACCGAGAAATGGAGCTCGGGTGGGTGGGCCCTTCTACGTTTAGGGGCCTGTGGCTAGTTTAGCCCGCGCTGTGGTTGGTACTTCGCTGTTGGGGAGGCTTGTAGGTTGCCCAGATCGTTCTTCCCAAACGGGTGACTGGGAAAATTAGCTGATAGAAAAGCTCGAGGGGCGGAGGCATTTTTTTCCTCCTTGGCCCCGCCCTCTTCCTGGTCGGCGACTTGGGCGTCGGGCCCTCTGAGAGGGGAAGGGAGCTGCGGAGGGGTGCAGTGGAAGAGTGCTTTGCGCACGCGCGAGCCTCAGTATGTGAGTGTGTGCACGCGCACGCGCGCGCTCCGTATTTGGGAAGCCTGGGAAGGACCGGTGTGTTAGGAGATGAGTGGGGAAAGCACAGTCCCCAGTCTATGCCACCAGACACTCCTGACTGTGCGCTGACTCTCCCCACCCCGCCAGCAGCCTTTTCCCGAGAGGCTGTGATTCATAGCCTCTGTTCGTTTTCACTGCAGGACCAGGCACGAAAGTAAGCGAACCTCGATCCCGAGATCTTCCCTATCCACTCACCTTGTACTTTCCACCCCCCACCCTCCCGCGAAGTGTCTAGATTCTGGACTCTTGAAGGTTGCTTCTCAAAGAGAGTTTTGCATGAAGGGGAGAGGAGTTTGAAAGCAAAAGAAAATAGCTGGATTGTACATAGTTTTGATGAACACTTTTGCTCTGCTTACCATGTGCTTTTCAAATGTGGATTGTCTATTCAGTATAAGATTCTATTAGCGAAGCAAGGGAGTACCATATGCTCTGTTTTTATAAGAAAAAGTTTTGAAACTACTTCTGCACCAGTGTGATGGTAGCAACTAACTTTTTCTGGTCTACATGGTAAATTACTGCGGTGTTTGAAAAGCTAAGAGGGAGGGGGAATTTGGGGGTTTTATCCTAATGCAAGAATTCGATATGTAGTTATCTTAGGAAATGTTTATCATGTATTGGCCTTTCCTTTTGCAGTTCTTCCCAGTCCCCATCCACCTTTTAGAGGTCTTGAAAGACTTTTATGGAGGAAAGCCCAAAAATGCTGGCTTAGGGGTTGATTGTGATATGTGATTCATGTTAATTAGCAAGAATCATCAAAAGTGTATTTGAAGAGTATTTGCCATTTGTTATGTTTCGTGAATGTAAGAGAATCAGATACAATGTATGTGAAAATGTTTTATTGTAACAGTTTTAAGTTCATTCAAAAAGCAAGAAAACATGTATGGACTACGGTTTTGCCCGGGTCTGGTAGAGTGATACCCTAGTATAGAGTAGTTCATTCCTTAAATCTGTGCAAGTTACTTTCTGGTTGTGATCCCGTTAAATCTTGTCTTGTCGGCTGGGCGCCTGTGGCTCAAGCGGCTAAGGCGCCAGCCACATACACCTAAGGTGGGGGGTTCGTATCCCCAGCCCGGGCCTGCCAAACAACAATGATGGCTACAACCAAAAAATGGACAGGCGTTGTGGCGGGCGCCTGTGGTCCCAGCTACTTGGGAGGTTGAGGCAGGAGACTCGCTTGAGCCCAGGAGTTGGAGGTTGCTGTGAGCTGTGATGCCATGGCACTCTACCCAGGGGGATAGCTTGAGGCTCCGTCTCAAAAAAAAAAAAATCTTGTCTTGTCCCATACATTTCTTTGAATACATTATTCATGTTCCCTACCAAATCTTCTTGAAAAGACAGTCTTCATGAGAATATTAGAAATAATTTAAGATAGTAAGTGTTATGTATAAACATTTGGTTAATATGCTTTTCCCCTTCCAGGTTAAAACAAAATGAAGATTTTTTCTGAATCTCATAAAACAGTGTTTGTTGTGGATCACTGCCCTTACATGGCAGAATCTTGCAGACAGCATGTTGAGTTTGACATGCTGGTGAAGAATAGGACTCAAGGAATCATTCCTTTGGCCCCTATATCTAAATCATTGTGGACTTGCTCAGTAGAATCTTCCATGGAGTATTGTAGAATAATGTATGACATATTTCCTTTCAAAAAGCTGGTGAGTATGAAGTACAAACAAAATCATGGTTTTGAGGTTGTACTTAAGTGCACAGATACAATTTTGGCATTGTGAATTTGTGATAGGTTAGATTTATAAATGTTTACTACTTAAAAATGCACATAAAACTGCTCTTTGGGATTAATATATTATGATTATTTAATAGGGGCCAATAATAATAGCAGCTAACAACAGGCTGGCTATTTGCTGCTATAGAATATGGCCATATTAGAAAGAAATGCTTTGAAGAATGCTAAGGGGAAATTATTTACCAATAAGCAGAAATGGATGATAGCAATTCCAAGCATTAAAGTTACCTTTTTTTTTTTTGAGTCAGAGTCTCACTTTGTCAGCCATGGTAGAAGGTATAGTGCTATGGCGTCATAGCTCACAGCAACCTTAAACTCCAGGGCTTAAGCGATTCTCTTTCCTCGGCCTCCCAAGTAGCTAGGACTATAGGCGCCCACCACAACCCCTGACTATTTTCAGAGACAAGGTCTCACTCTGGCTCAGGCTGGTTTCGGACTTGTGAACTCAGGCAGTCCACCCAGGTGAGCCACTGCACCTGGCCCATTTTTTTTTCTTTTTTTGAGACAGCGTCTCCTCCATCACCCTGAGTAGAGTGCTGTGGTGTCATCATAGCTCATAGCAACCTTAGACTTGGGCTTGAGCAGTTCTCTTGCCTCAGCCTCCCAAGTAGCTGATGGACTATAGGCATTGGCCACAATGCCCAGCTAGTTTTTCTATTTTTAGTAGAGATGGGGTCCTGCTGTTGGTCAGGCTGCCTTCGAATTCTGGAGCTTAAGAGATCCACCTTATAGGTGTGAGCCACAGCCCCCACTTTATTAAACTATCTTAAATGTCTTATTCTGGGAGTAGCATTTGGTTAGTGCTAAGTGGATGATTTGCTTTTTTGTCTTACTTGGAGCAGCATAGGCTGAGACTTAGCTAATTTCTTTGAGTGGCAAAGGTAGGACAGAAACAGTGAAGAGAATCTAAAATACATTCAGACATTCCAAATTAAAATAAGTCTTTAAATTTTTATGCATAATATGTAAAAGAAAAAATACGTAATCGGGAGGAAATTTAACATAGTGAGTTAGGGTGGAGGCTTAAGTGCAGATCCTGACATCATTAGCTGCCAGTGGTGTGACTTTGATCTTTGTGATTTTTCTGATTCCCTCCAGACCTCAGTTTTTTCCCATGTAAGCATAACACCTCCTTCCTTTGAGACTGAAAGTAGATAATTTAAGTTTAGTGGCCAGTAAAATAGTTCTTTATTACATAAGCTTTAGGAGAGAAGAGCAATACTTTTTTGGGGGAAGGAAAATTAGTATTTCACAGACATGTAGGGGAAAAGTTTATATATTAGATTTTTTTAATTATTATTATTTTTTTAGACAAGAGTCTTTCTCTGTTGCTCTGGAGTTGAATGCGGTGTAGTCATAGCTCAGTCCTCTTACCTCAGCCTCCCAAGCAGCTGGGACTATGGGCACCTGCCACAAAGCCTGGCTATCTTTTCTGTTTTTATTAGAGATGGGTGTCAATCTTGTTTGGGCTAGTCTTGAACACCTGAGCTCAAGGGATCCACTCACTTTGGCCTCCTGCAGTGCTAGGATTACAGGCCTAATATGTTCCTTGTCATCATTATCGTCTTACCTGATAGATTATAACTTGCATTTTATTTTAAAACATAAATTTCAAATTCATTATTTTGGTTTTGGTTTTTGGGGGGTTTTTTTGGTCAGGGCTGGGTTTGAACCCGCCCCTGTCATATGGGGCTGGCGCCGTACTCCTTTGAGCCACAGGCGCCCCCCTCAAATTCATTATTTTGATTTTCAGTTCCCTATATGATATGGCTGTTGCCTATTTCTCTGAGCTCATCTCCTACCCCTCTGCCTGCCTTTTAAGGTGGAGACCTTTGGGTTTTATGTTTGGTGTACCTGGAATTCTGTATGCCTTGTTTATACAGTGGTTGGTTTCTTTTAGTCATTTTGGATTCTCCTCAGTTGCTGCTTCTATAGAAAGCCCTTTTTTGACCATCAATGTGAAGTAGCTAACCAGCTTATTCTTTATAGCCACTATCACTCTCTAAAATTATCTTGTTCATTTGTTCGTATTCTCCCTCCAGTGCCCTCTGTCTTAGTACATTTCCCACCCCTGACTTTTCCCACATTGTGAATCACAGAACTGTTTTACTCATCACTGTATTCCCATATCCCCAGGGCCAAGTGTGGCACCTGGCATGTGTATTTTTTTTTTTTTTTTGAGACAGAGTCTCACACTGTCGCTCTGGGTAGGGTGCTGTGGCGTCACAGCTCATAGTAACCTCCAACTCTTGGGCTCAAGCGATCCTCTTGCCTCTGTTTTTCTATTTTTTTTTTTTTTTGAGACAGAGTCTCATGTCGCCCTGTAGAGTGCGGTGGCATCACAGCTCACAGTAACCTCAAACTCTTGGGCTTAAGCAGTTCTCTTGCCTCAGCCTCCCAAGTAGCTGGGACTACAGGCGCCTGCCACAGTGCCTGGCTATTTTTTGTTGCAGTTGTCATTGTTTAGCTGGCCCAGGCTGGGTTTGAACCTGCCAGCCTCGGTGTATGTGGCTGGTGTCATAACCACTGTGCTACAGGCGCTGAGCCTCAGATTTCTATTTTTAGTAGAGATAGGGTCTCACTTTTGCTTGGGCTCGTCTTGAACTCATGAGCTCAAGCAATTCACCAGCCTCAGCTTCCAGAGTGCTAGGATTACAGGCGTGAGCCACCACTCACACAGG